GAAAAAGACTTGGGGATTGATATCACGCCAGACCTGTCTCCTGCAGCACATATCAAGCGGATAACATCAGCGGCATATGCCAGGCTGGCCAACATACGAACGGCATTCAGAAACTTGTGTAAAGAATCATTCAGAACTTTGTATACCACATATGTCAGGCCAATCCTGGAGTATGCAGCCCCAGCATGGAGTCCATATCTAGTCAAGGATAAGACTAAACTGGAAAAGGTTCAAAGGTTTGCCACCAGACTAGTACCCGAGCTGAGAGGTATGAGCTACGAGGAGAGACTACGGGAATTAAACCTCACTTCGCTGGAAGACAGAAGAGTTAGGGGGGACATGATCACCACATTCAAGATTCTGAAGGGGATTGATAGGGTAGATAAAGACAGTCTATTTAACACAAGGGGAACACGCACAAGGGGACACAGGTGGAAACTGAGTGCCCAAATGAGCCACAGAGATATTAGAAAGAACTTTTTTAGTGTCAGAGTGGTTGACAAATGGAATGCATTAGGGGGTGATGTGGTGGAGGCTGACTCCATACACAGTTTCAAGTGTAGATATGACAGAGCCCGATAGGCTCAGGAATCTGTACACCTGTTGATTGACGGTTGAGAGGCGGGACCAAAGAGCCAGAGCTCAACCCCCGCAGACACAACTAGGTGAGTACAGGCTCCTGCAGGAAGGACGAGGGCCACAGGTACACGCTCCATCACCCTCAATACAACACACAGGTTCCTCCAGTGTTGACTGCACTCATTCTCCATCTCTCTCTCTCTCTCTCTCTCTCTCTCTCTCTCTCTCTCTCTCTCTCTCTCTCTCTCTCTCTCTCTCTCTCTCTCTCTCTCTCTCTCTCTCTCTCTCTCTCTCTCTCTCTCTCTCTCTCTCTCTCTCTCTCTCTCTCTCTCTCTCTCTCTCTCTCTCTCTCTCTCTCTCTCTCTCTCTCTCTCTCTCTCTCTCTCTCTCTCTCTCTCTCTCTCTCCCTCTCTCTCTCTCTCTCTCTCTCTCTCTCTCTCTCTCTCTCTCTCTCTCTCTCTCTCTCTCTCTGACTCTCTCCTCTCACCCATCACTCTAAACATTCACGTCTTCATCTTCACTATACGCTTAAATATACTGTGACTATAATTCAGAAAAAAACTACTATATTGCAATCAGAAAGACAAGCAAATGTTGTTCACCATTCTCACCATAACTAACAGTGACTGAGAGTGAGGCACTGATGCTGAGCACAGTTAGGGAGGATGTGTGTGCGCTTGGCTAATAGTTCTTACCTGAGATTGACTGTGAAGGGGAGAAGTGAGGTTTAGCTCTCTGTCTCCGCCTTCTGTGACGTTCGCAATTGCTGCATATTTTGTCTATCTTTGACGTTCGAGTTCTTTGTTTTATCTGCTCTTAAAGTTTGGGTAAAAGTTGTTTTCAAGAGTATTTTTCTTTCATTATGTTCCAGTTCATTTGTACAGGGTACGGGTACAGGGTACGGGTACAGGGTACGGGTACAGGGTACGGGTACAGGGTACGGGTATTTGTACAGGGTACGGGTATTTGTACAGGGTACGGGTATTTGTACAGGGTATGGGTATTTGTACAGGGTACGGGTACAGGGTACGGGTATTTGTACAGGGTATGGGTATTTGTACAGGGTACGGGTATTTGTACAGGGTATGGGTATTTGTACAGGGTACGGGTATTTGTACAGGGTAAGGGTATGGGTACAGGGTAAGGGTATTTCTTTACTTCTTCACTCATTTGTGTCTCCAGCTTCCATCTATGTCATCTTGTCCAATATTCTCTACATTAAAAGATTCTTCACATCCACCCATGTCTGTCTAGTCTATTCCTCTGACTTTACTCCCTCTGATCGGTCATTCACATGGACACGGGCTCACCATAGCCCGTGCTACTTGGAACTTTTTGTTCCAGGTAGCGAATCTTAAACAACAACAACAACATTCACATGGAAATAATAATATTCCCGTGACCCAGCCTCGGGGAACTCCGCTTATCATCCTTCTCTAGCTTAACACTGTCTCTCGAACTGTGCCTAACTGTTTTCACTTCGTCCGGTACTCCTTTTCCCAGATCAGTGATTTCGCTGTTTTCCAAGCGTCTCTTTCCCCTCTTATACACCCATATTTTGTGAAGAATCAGATGCTTTTATGGGAAACTTAGACAAATGTGATTCCAAAAAGCTTGTATGGGTCGGCCGAGCGGACAGCACGCTGGACTTGTTATCCTGTGGTCCCGGGTTCGATCCCGGGCGCCGGCGAGAAACAATGGGCAGAGTTTCTTACACCCTATGCCCCTGTTACCTAGCAGTAAAATAGGTACCTGGGTGTTAGTCAGCTGTCACGGGATGCTTCCTGGGGAGTGGAGGCCTGGTCGAGGACCGGGCCGCGGGGACACTAAAGCCCCGAAATCATCTCAAGATAACCTCAAGAAGATATGGGAAGTGTTTTGACGACCTTGTTATAGAATTCTGTCAAGTTTGTCAGTCTTCATATCCCTTTAAAAATCTTGTTGAACGTCGGTTACAAATTATACCCTCTAGGTGCTCTTCTTTAAATGGTCACTTTCACCGGTACATTGGAAGAAAAAGCATGTCAGTGACACTGGAGCGATGAAGCAAGGCTCAAGGGATGGGTGTTAGTGTGTAGTCACTTGTTCTTGCCACATCTGTGTCACTGTTTGTGTGTATCTACATGTGTGTGTGTGTGCATCTACATGTGTGTGTGTGTGCATCTACATGTGTGTGTGTGCATCTACATGTGTGTGTGTGCATCTACATGTGTGTGTGTGCATCTACATGTGTGTGTGTGTGCATCTACATGTGTGTGTGTGCATCTACATGTGTGTGTGTGCATCTACATGTGTGTGTGTGCATCTACATGTGTGTGTGTGCATCTACATGTGTGTGTGTGTGTATTTATGTGTTTGTATATGCTCGCATGTGTGTGCGTCCACCCGTAACACTATGCGTGTTAGTGGCTTTGCAGTTGTTTGTTGTTATAGATTCAGCTACTGGGAACAAGTTCCAAGTAGCACGGGCTATGGTGAGCCCGTAGTGGACTTACCCGGCACGGGAGCGGTGCTGAGGCTTTGCAAGAATGCAGCACTCAATCGCCAGCGTGTATACTTTACAATCCACTGTACCTTCTTGTTTGTAAATAAATTCAGAATAAGATAAAAGTTATAATGCATATAATACGTTTCCATGTGTGTGGGTAGGTGTATGCTCGTGTGTATGTATATTTTTGTGTACTTATTTGTGCGTATTTATGTGTGTACTCACCTAATTGTGCTTGCGGGGGTTGAGCTTTGGCTCTTTGGTCCCGTGTATATGTGTGTATATGTATGCTTGCTTGTAAGTCTGTATGTACGTTCCTCGCTGAATGTATGTGTTTTTGTGTGTACACGAGTACAGTACATGGTCTTGGGGTAAGATTTCATTGGTTTATTGATCGGTTTAGCCTAGTGTTTTTATGTAATTAAAAGTGTAATTTAGTGTAATTATGTGTTACATGTTCGTCAAGATAATTAAGTCTGTAGTTCATTTTCCAAAGCGTACTTTCAAACTTGAAGTTCACCGTCACACACGCTACTGTGACGAACATAGAGTTCACCGTCACACACACTACTGTGACGAACATAGAGTTCACCGTCACACACACTACTGTGACGAACATAGAGTTCACCGTCACACACACTACTGTGACGAACATAGAGCTCACCGTCACACACACTACTGTGACGAACATAGAGCTCATCGTCACACACGCTACTGTGACGAACATAGAGCTCACCGTCACACACGCTACTGTGACGAACATAGAGCTCACCGTCACACACACTACTGTGACGAACATAGAGCTCACCGTCACACACGCTACTGTGACGAACATAGAGCTCACCGTCACACACACTACTGTGACGAACATAGAGCTCACCGTCACACACGCTACTGTGACGAACATAGAGCTCACCGTCACACACACTACTGTGACGAACATAGAGTTCACCGTCACACACGCTACTGTGACGAACAGAGTTCACCGTCACACACCCTACTGTGACGAACATAGAGCTCACCGTCACACACGCTACTGTGACGAACATAGAGCTCACCGTCACACACGCTACTGTGACGAACATAGAGCTCACCGTCACACACGCTACTGTGACGAACATAGAGTTCACCGTCACACACACTACTGTGACGAACATAGAGCTCACCGTCACACACGCTACTGTCACGAACATAGAGCTCACCATCACACACCCTACTGTGACGAACATAGAGCTCACCGTCACACACACTACTGTGACGAACATAGAGCTCACCATCACACACGCTACTGTGACGAACATAGAGCTCACCGTCACACACGCTACTGTGACGAACATAGAGCTCACCGTCACGCACGCTACTGTGACGAACCAGATGTGAGCTAGCCTACTTAACCCTCAACTCAACAATAACAAATAAGAACATATCTCCAAGGGAAGAACAGGTGGAAAGTCAATATATTATTGAAATAAAATCCAGACTTGTGACTTAAGATCACCACCATTGGTCACGCGGACAGGGCAGTCACACACACTTAAGACACATGCACGTAACAACGGGTTCAAAAGCACAACTAATATTTCAAGGGAATATGTATTAAAACGAAGGAAAGAGTACCACGATACTACGTGGTCAGTCGCTTTACATGTACGTAACTTTCATCCGTGGAGAGTCGGAGTGAGATGACCTCTTGCGTTTTCAGGTCAAATCTGTGAATATAGACACGTTTATCCTTGTCTGTACGACTTCAGGGACTAAGCTTCTTACATAAACGGGTTGTACCAAGCTTGAAACACGCGTAATGAGTCAAAATCTAAAGTTTAAAACAATAATATGACGGTCCAAAAAAATGAAAATTATACACCATATATGGCGCGGTGGCCTGGGTGGTGGGTATTGGCTTTCAGGGTGGGAGGGTACCCAGAGCTCAGTGGGCTGGCGTCCTTCGTCGAGGTGATACGTGTTGCGCTGCTCCTCTCCGTCTCCCTCACTCGCGTACACTCGATACAGACACGTGAGTCGCCTTCCTAGATTTGTTCCTGCTACTAAAATTTGTTTGATATGCACTCACAGGGTGTTTGTAATGTATGTATCAGAGTAGAAAAAAAGGATATTTTGTTTCGTTTAATTACGGAATTAAGAAATTCATTCGTGTGCATTGTCAGATTTCATTCACATTTATTCACGATACCTTTTTTTTTTAATCTTGCAGGCCTCCTGGAAGATAAGGCTTAGGCTACTAACACAGTGGTGCTATAACGGTCTATAGGAAGTGATGCGCAGTTATATAGCCTAGTGCCCAGTTGTTCTTCGCGGACATTATAACACTAGAAAGATATCTGTCAATGAAGATGGCCAAAATAGAGAAACAAGTGGGCACTCAAGAGGGCGGGGGTGGTGCAGTGGATGATAACAACAATAATAATAACAATCAGAACAACACAGAAAGTACCAACACAGCGTGTAGTTCCGGAGTGAAGTACCAGCTGCGACCTCGAACTCTCCTCCCCCGGCGTCGGTGTGACAGTGAGTGGAGTCTTCAGGACACCCTGCGACACAAGCAGCGGCCGCCGCCACTCTCCAGGTACCGCAGGAAGACCGCTAATGCCCGGGAGAGGTACCGCATGCGGCAAATTAACACCGCTTTCGAGAGTCTGCGAGGCGTACTGCCGTCGTGGGTGTGTAGTCGACGAGCCGCTTCTGAGATGACTAAGATTACCACGTTGAGGCTGGCCTCCGCGTACATCAGATCTCTCCAGGACATCCTGGACGGTAATGCCCATCAGGACACCTGCTCGTGGGTCCTCTCAAGCATCCTGCAGGACGCCTCCAATCTCCAGGAGTCGCAGCCAGACCTAGGTCCTGGAAGTCAGGGCAAGACTCAGCAATCCCTTGTTCATACGACGTCAGATCCAGACTTTGTTACTTTCCTGTGCGCGTCAGACTCTGGGGTCTTCCAAGATAGCATGGAGTCTTTCTCATACCTCTCACCCATGTCTGAAACTGAAGCTGTAGCACTTCTCCTGGGGAATGAGCCTCAGTCTCGACCCTGGACTGAGGGTCAACATTCCCCACTTGTGTCATGATCTCTACGAGAAAGGAATCGTGAAGGTTTTGATGTATACTTAGGACTGATTCCGTACCAACAGTATTCATTCCCGCTGGTATCGTAAAGTGATTTATTGAACAAGCGAAGTAAGAGATTTTTGGTGATCGAGTCTTGATATGCATGAATGACACGGTACAGCTTGAACGCCGGCTTAGTGATCTTTACGAAAAAGGTCTCTGCCGTCCCGGTCGAGGACGACCTCAGACCTGTTACTGGACCCGAGTCCACTACCTGCAGGTTTTCTGGTGCCATAAACGACCAGCGGGATCCTTCTGCTGGAGTTAAAGTGTGATAATGTAAGTAGTTCGTACTTGAAAAGCAAAAATAATTTGCCGTCTGTGGTGGAGTTTTCCGGTATACGTAATGCTATCATGTTATGCTCCTGTGAGTGAAGTTGTCGAGGAAGACTTTCATGAAAGATAAGTCAACAACAAGTGCAAACAAATATTTTAGATATATATTATATATACAGTAAATGTATATATACAGAGAACCTATTATAGATAACTTTTCATTTACTCATATGAGGAGTATAATTTCGAAAATAAAATGAATAAAGTGAGATGAATGTGTGCTTTGAACACAAGTGTAATAACAGAATGACTTATGTCATTGGTGTAACTCAGATTCATAGTGAAGCAAGTGTTGTTACGGAAGTGTATTGACCAGTGACGTAATACACAGTGACTTACACCCATGTTGACCAGACTAGAGGAACGTCGTCCCTTCACTAGAAAGTGAAGGGACGACGACGTTTCGGTCCGTCCTGGACCATTCTCAAGTCGAAGTATGCAGACTCCTCGTCTGCATACTTACATCCATCATGTGATAAAAACTATATGTGAAATGTGAAGAACAGAAATCAAATACTATTGTTTAAAAAAACTTTAATTAAATTTCTAATTGCTCTACTACAGTGAGATTGTAGTGCTCGACATAAGGAGAACAATTGCATAGACAATTTGTGAAACTGATCATCATTTGTATATGATGAATTTTACGCGAATTTCCAATAAATGAAAAATGTTAATCCATCTGTATTAACGACATACTAAACATATGTCGTTAATTAACGACATATTAATAGTATGTCATTAACGTCGTATAACGTCATTAATAACGGACGTATTAACGACATACTAAGTGTAGTTGTTCACAGTATATGTAGTGAGAATTACATTATTTCAATGGTCTAATTATTTAAATCAGTTATTTATTATTCTGCTGAGCGATAGTTTGTTTTTTCAGCCTTGAACTAGATACTCTGTTAGTCCGAGACCTGAACCTTTGAGATGTTTCTCTACGTTTACTATACGGCTGAGACGCCATGTAGAAGTCAAACTGAACTATAATGTCATGTAGAAGACAAACTGAACTGTAATAACATGACTTTTACAAGCTAGATGAGATTGCATTCTGTAAAAGCATGTAAATGACTCCTTTGCACACCAGATGCGAATTACCTTGAATAACTAAATTGTAATGACTTTCAAACTAAATACAAATGCTAAACCATTAAATAAAAAATACACCAATGTATTAAACGTTAAAGGAATTTTTGTAATATACATTTTTAATTACCTAGGATACAAATTTTATTAGAATATATTTTAATGAAATATAATGCATGTGTTATTTAGTCAATATTATTATATTTAGTTAAAAACGAGATAAATGTTAATACGAAAAACATTATTTAGAAAAAGCAGTATTGATTCTGAAGGTATTATTGATCATTAAAAGACTTAAGCCGAGTGATCTAGCAATTTATTTAAGAGAAAATGTTGTTATTGTATTACCTGCTTTTTGCGTCACGCAATGAGGCAACTTTCCCAACAGGATTGGCTAATTTCGCTATAGCCTATCAGAGGAACATAACTGGGATATTTTGTCAATAGAAATAGAACATGGCACCATAGACAGACATACAGCCTATTAGTTGTGTATGTTTAAAATATAATTTGATCAAGAAAAATTATATATATACCAAACACAATCTAGGCTTTAATAAGATATTTTCTGAATATTCTCCAAAATATCGGTGGTCCGCCAGGAAGACAAAATTACGTTAGCTGACATAATAGTTAACGTGACTAAAGTATATTCCATCTTTACCCATTGACAAATAACTGTTAAAACGGGAGATTAGTCGATCGAGAATTAAACCATTCCCGGTCCTTACGTTATTGCTTTAACCTCATTATTCTTGATTCAACTCAGAAGAAATAGAATGTAAGTGAACACTCTCTAACGTACATATTAGAATTAGCATACATTAGGTCTCTTAGCACAGTTGGCTTTGTTTTCGACTCAGTCGGGGATCCTGGGTTGGATTCCCGGGCGGGACAGTGTTGGGCACGTTTTCTTTCACCAAATGCCACTGTTCACCTGGCAGCAAGTAGGTACCCGAGAGTTATGTCTCTACTGTTAGGTTGCATCCTGGGGAGGGTCTATACTTCAGTCTTGGCAGGGAATGTGTGGACCTCGATACAAGCCTAAAATATAACTACAGGCTTCCTGTCCCCCAACAATATATTATAAAATTCGGGACAGCACGAGCCTAGCTCTCATCCTATACACGTAGGTAATTACCAAAATAGATATATAGCTAGCCAGTGTGTATATCCTGGAAGGAGTACAGCGATGCCCAACGGAAAATATATACACAAGGATGACCATGTGGTAATAAATAGGTGAGGATAGAGACAAAGACGCCGCCTATCCCTTGACACTAGTCAGCTCGCCTGCGCTTCAAGGACGACTGTACCGCCACACGTGTCGTCCCGGCGCTCGGCGAGACTACATTTAACGCTGTAGATAACCTTTGTAGCCTGGGTTTAGCCCCTGACTCTGTCTCTCCGACTTGGACGTTTCCTCTCACCGGCTATTCTTTCAGCTATACCCACTTCCCCGCTCACCCGACAACCCGTCCTCTTAAAAACGTCACTCTTCGCTCATATGCGCACTATGGCCAAATTTGGACGTAATTTGAAATGAAATCGACTCACAAAAGTGACGTTCTGTTCCGTTTTCTATTTGAGTTGTCCGGCGTACGCGCAGAGGTTATAAGAGGACACTTTAAATTAACGTTTTGAAACTTTATGAGAATTTCCTGCCCACCTAACCTATCAGAGGACCCTTAACTTACTGTTGTTGAAAAAAAAATCCAAATTTATTTTCATTTCTTTTTTTAATTTTCAAATTACGTCCAAATTCGGCCATACGGGCAAACGGCCAAAACCGACGTTCTTTTTAAGAGGACAGGTTGGACCCGAAGGGTATCTTGTCCTTTATTTTGTTCGTTCGTTGTAGTCGTGGTGGGAAGCCTCCTCCACGCACAAGTACATATATATGTGCCCTTCATATATAATTATTGTTAATAATATTCCTGTATATTATATTAGGAGATTTTGTTGATTAATATTCAACCAATTATTATTATAAATTATTATCATCATTATTATAACGCTGACAGTGAGGGGGTTATACAAATATCAACATGTCATCCAGAACTGATAGTACTTATTCCAACTATTGGGCAAACGTACAAAAATGGACTGTTGCACTCAAAAAGTTCAAGCTTTTTACTATTTATTTCGTAGAGGGCACAAGAAAGGATAACCAAACCAAACTGTTTATAGGCCTAGAATAAGATATAGCTGATATAGGCTATATTATATTAAGCCTAAGATGACATATATTATGGCTTGCAGTGCTTATTTTGGCCTAGGTCAGATTTGGTTGTGTTCTTACTGTCCCATTTCTATAATAAGTACGCCATTTGATCGTTCCAACAGTTCAAATCGTAAAAACTGCTGGAACAGTTCACGTTTTGGGAACAATTTTGGGGAGCAACGCTCCATTTTTGTACGTTCGACCATTTGTCGTTGTAAATCATATTTTGGGTGATGAGTTGACAGGTTCTGCGTCCACCACTTGTTAAGTGAGTGATGGTTTGAAACCCATAGTGTGGCGAGTCGACAACCACCACTAAAGGTTATTTATGGTAAGGGATTGAGGGCTTCCCATAATTTAAACACTTGTATTCTATGTATATTATATTATTATTCTATCCAATATTATGTATATATATATATATATATATATATATATATATATATATATATATATATATATATATATATATATATATATATATATATATATATATATATATATATATTGTTTGTAAATACTGGGTTTTGTACACATCGAGGGTTCTGTCACAAAACAGAAATAAATGGAAAGCATCTTATTTTTACATTTTAGTATCCTGTGTATTTGTTGAAAAAAGTGATTTCGAGCTTAATTTATATATATTATTTTTATTAAAAACTATATATTCACTGACAAATATTTATAAATTAAATTGTAGAAATGACACACTGTAATAGTGTTCTTGCAAAACTGATGCAGTTTAGAAAAAACAATTTTCTCAGTTGATCAGAATATTTTGTTTAAATTGTATATCTGCTAAAAATTAATCTGCACTTTAATGAAATTAACATATTATATTAACAACAAATTGCTTGCCAGTTTAGGCCTGATTGTACCTGTGTGAGGCAGCATTTAGGAAAAATGGGAATATTTATAGTAGGTCAAACTACTGAGTTAGTTTTGGTTTAAGTGAAACAAAAACGTATATGTTTATGAAACCTAACACACACACACACACACACACACGCACACACACACACACACACACACACACAAACTCAGCTCTCTGCTCTGCTCCAAGCTCCGTCACAACGTCTACGACACTGCTGTATCCAGGACTACTAAATAAATATGAAACTCGCTAAACACTGTATCTAATCTACCCAACAACGGAACATAATCGTAGCCTGGGGCCACGATTATTAGCAAGACAGTTGAGAGGCGGGACCAAAGAGCCAGAGCTCAACCCCAGCAAGCTCAACTAGGTGAGCACACACACATACATACATACATACATACATATTATATAGTAACAACTTCAGGAATGTTGTTGTTTTAGATTTAGCTACTCAGAAGGAAATGTCCATGTAGCACGGGTTATGGTGAGCCCGTAATTCTTCAGGGAGAACTATCATATATTATTAGTCAGACAAGAAGCCTGGACAGGTGAAGGGGCTCAGATAACGTCAGGTCACGTTCCGCAGCCAGGGGTCAGAGGTCAGCTGGACGGGGTCAGCCACGCCTTTCCTTATCCCTTGTTCGCACACGTGATGGTTCCAGCTATGATGATGGGTTGCGTCACGTACTTCATATTTGCAATGCGTCACGTGCGTCGCATGGGTCTCGTGTATGTCGTACGCATCACCTGACCTCGCCAGCTTATCTTGAACTTTCATTATTAACGCTCCCTCGTCTACTAATTTAGTTTATAAATTATTTAATTTGCCGTTTTGAATAATCAATTTTCCGGTCAATTACGTTTTTTTTGTGTTGCTGTACTATTAATGTAATTTTTCTTATTCTTAATTTTATTGAGAAAATCATTTGGTGCAATGTGTGGATTAGACAACCCATCTTCCGAATTGACAGTACGTTTTAATAATAAGTACATTTCCTGACTGCCATACATAGTACAAAATTGCACCTATGGGGCTGTTATATTTACCTCCCCATTTATTCTCGTTTTCTGTTAAGACACTAACAATTTTAGGATGAAGTTTTAAAGTTTAATTTACTATACACAAGTTTTAAATATCAGGAATTTCTTTTTCAGTTTTATTAAACAATAGAGATTTTATACAAAATTTGAAAATATCCTGAGTTACTTTACAATTTATTAAAATATTTTAGTTTTGTTTTATTTGTATTATAAAACTGTAATATCAATATAGCTACAGGTTAAGTAATAATTGTAATTAAGAAGCAATAAAATGCTTATCCTCAAAAACTAAGACGGTTAGGTTAGGTCGTTGTTTTCTATTCAGCTTTTCAGGTAAACCTCAAATATTCACAATATATTTGACTACGGTTTAATACTAAGTGGAAATAAGTACAATTCTTGACTGCCATACATAGTACATAATTGCACTTAGCTGTTACATTTACCTCCCCATTTTTGGAGGACGGGCTGGGATTAGAACTAAAGTTCTAGTAAATACCAAACGCTTGCACACATAAATCACAATAGCGTGATGCATCAAATGAACAAATCCACAAGGGCCGTGATGAGGGTTCGAACCTACGTCCGAGAGGATCCAGAAAAACCCAACTAGATGAGTAGATGAATTAAACTCATTGAGTGGCTAATAGAAATTAACTCAGGCAAGTGCAAAGAAATGAAACATGTGTGCTGTCAAGAGGAGGGTAGACACAAGGTGCCAATTGGAAGAAGAAACCCTTCTGGAATGACAGAGGGAAAAATATCTGGGAGGTTGAGTCCTATGCACAGAAAACGTGGATTTTTTGAGGCGTTACTTTTCAAAATGGGTTGCATTTGTAACTGGTTGTTGTTGTTGTTGTTTAAGATTCGCTGCCTGGAACAAAAGTTCCAAGTAGCACGGGCTATGGTGAGCCCGTGTGTAACTCTGGTTACGATATCCTGAACGTAAATAATTATCAAATGAAGGC